TATAAAATTGAATGGTATCAGATCAATTTATTCCGCCAGGTAAAAATAGGTCAGTAGATATTGAAAGATTTAAGCGAGAATTCTCAAGCAATTATACTTTTGATCACGGGTGAAGCCAGGAATTTGCAAGGGGGTTTCTGAAATGTCTACTTGCCAAGTTAGACCATAAAACGGAAAATGCGGATTTTCAAAAGTCTACAGAGTCTATGATGCGTTCAAGCTACGAAAATTGCTATTTATGATTAAGATTAAAAAATATTTTAAAATGAGGGTTGTGACCCTTGACCTAATGGCTACGCCCCAATGCCCCATATTTCCTGTTCACCTATTTATTATACCCTGAGTACGGTTTCCTTTCCAGTCTCGCAAATGTTTGCATTTTCATTCTTTTGTTTACAATTTTTTTTAATTCCGAAACCCCCAAAAAGAGTACGCATCGCGGAAATTGATAGTCCTATGTTTATTGAAGCTACCTTGACTAAATCCCACACAATGGGAAGTTATTTTCATGTTGTGAAATGAAATGAGGCCTAAGTTCACAAGAAAGCAATCTCATTGTTTTTTTTTCTAACATGGTACTGTTATGCCGTCACTGCCATGTGAATATAACAGCGTGGTTCCATTACATTTGAACCCACGTACATTTGAACCCATGACAATTGCACCTGCATACTATTGCACCAAATTTTTTTGTTGTACGGATAGTTGAACCCATCCTAACCCTAACCCATGGGTTTCAGCACCCGTATATTGATTGAACCCGCGGATATAGACGGGGTTCAAATGTACGTGGGTTCAAATGTACGGTCACCTAACAGCGTAGAACCCACTTCCGCAATTCCATGGAACTAGGGACAAACTAGAATAAAACAAAGTGCTCAATTTCGCATAAACAACCAATATTTTCATAGAATATATCTTGGTATTTTGTGAACTTAATTTACTACACACTGTATGGACAAATAAAATGTGACTGTTCTAGAAAGTTAGTGATGCATTGACCCTGAATAGGGAATCACAGTGGGACAAAATACAACAAATCCATGCTTGAAGTAACAACAATAGGTTAAAATTACAGATGTCTAAAATGAAATGTCAGATTTAAAATTGAGTATATTCTAAATTTAGTTGACCTCCATGTTTTGGAATCGAAGTGAGACAAAAAACAACAAATTCCCGCCCGATTTCATAACTGAATTCATTTTGGATGAAATAATTTGAGAATATATTTCTCGCTTTGAATGAGGCGCAAATTATATGTTTTCAATCCTTTGTATGTACCATATTTTTTGACAGACTGGAATTTTCCCTGTTTTTAAATAACTACACAAAAAAGGAGAATTTTGGACTCAAAAATAAAATTTTGATCAAAACATGGCCAAGTAAACATTAAAATGTCTAATATTCAAAGATATCACTTTCGGCCCGGGAAAGGAAAGTCAGAAACACGATTTAAAAACGTCAGGCCATTGGCCTAATTTTCAAACTCTTCACGCAGAAATTTATACTTTGAACTTTAACAAGAAAATTTTAATCAAAATTTGACTGAGCAAATTCAAGAGCGTCTTATATTCAAAGATATCAAGGGTTCGATCACAAATTTCACATTTAACTGGGGGGAAAGGAAAGCCAGAAAGATGGTACAAAATGTTTTCCAAACATGGAGATATTCACCCCAGGAAGATATCTTGTCATGGTGAGAAATTCTGCTTTGATTTTGCTGTGGTATTACCAATATTCTTGAGCTCTAATACTTAATTACACACTTATTAGAAACGACTTATTGTGCAAAAGCGAAGGGCGACTTTAACATACCAGTAGATGAGGATCCATTAAAGACAGAAAGAGAATATCGGTCGGAGACCGAAGACTTATCGATCGAAAGCTAGGGGATCCCCCAAAACAGAAACTGCGGTTTCGAGTCATCCGCCCTTACTCCATAGTGACACTGTGTGACCCATCACTAATTAATTAATAACTCGCTAATTATACGATATAATTCATTCAAAACCAATAGGCTTCTGGTCCGAGATATGATAAATGCACATGCAAAATTTGGAGTAGATTCAACCTCGCTTTCGTGAGATATTGCGTGCATCTAACAGACAAATACCTATAAACATACTTATAGAGATCGATAAGTAATGAATAAAGTACTTTTTATACTTAGTAACGGTAACGGGGGAATAAAGAGGTATAAAATGAACGAAGGGAAGAATTTAACTAAAAACCACTGGTTTAAAACATACAATAATAAAACCTCATTCGTACGAACTACACAGAATGGCAAGAATTTTGAACTTTAAATAAAAAGAAAATTTCAATCAAAATCTGACTGACTAAACCCCAGAGTTATTTATAGCGACCTTTTTAAAACTGGCAATGGGAAGTCATTGACCCGTGAAGCAATCTATTAGTGAGTTGTATTAGGGGAGACACGATTGTATTGACGTCATTTTGAGGTCACAATCATCACCCCGAAAATCTATTATGGCATCACAATAAGCAGATAAAAATTTATACGTCTCTGGACCGCAGGTCGAGTCAATTATGACATTTTGATACAAATGTACTATTTCATTACTGCAAGTAGATAATATTATTACGTCTCACGACTCTCCGAGTTCGATAAATTTTCATTTTTTAGTACATGTAGGTTAGAAGATTTATAATATTAAACTTCATTCACATATTATGGTCAGATGCCCATTCACTGGGATTAATTTAAATATATCTTTGTTCGTCTCAATAAGTCTGACTTAGATCATGCAAATGCTACAGAACTATAGGTACTCCTGAAGTATGTGCACCAGGATGTCGCACAACCTGAACACTACCCTGGTACACAACCTGAGTTCAGGTTGTGCGCCATCTTGGTGCGCATACTTCAGGAGGTCCGAAATATATTTTTGTGTCAATATGCGACAAGACTCTTTAACTGTGGTACTCATGCTAAACAGTAAATTCAATTTTCGAACAAATTAGGAATTTTCTTCAACTCTGATTTAAAAAAATTATTCAGTGATGTTATAAAAAATATTATTTCAGAAACATCTGACAATACGTCTGTTGTCTGCCGAATAAACATCATTATGGAGTCACAATATCAGATACAGGAAATATTGTGACATAACGAAAGTACATACAGACCATGTATTGTTCAAAATGGCGCTATTCACCAGATATCAAAACTTTTTCAACTCATTTAACATTATTAACCTTACTGAATTGACTTCAAAAAGGCAGATAATATTTTTTAAATGTCAAAGGTCGTGCTTCAGATGTCTGACTATGATCAGATGGAAGATTACTGATTAAAATTTGTGAAAGTCTAATACATGACTTTCAAAACAACTCAATATAGGCGTTTATATTCTTTGATTCTATTTTAAAAACCTATTTCAACACTGTCACATACATTTTTCGTAGCCTGAAACAATTTTTGGATTTTAAAAGTTTTTGGAAAGACACGTTTTCATGACCAGCTATATGTTATGGTCTAACTTAATTAGAAAATAAGAGAATTAGAAATTTCAGAAATGCCTCGGCAATGCCCTGAAGAGCACATTTTCAAATACTGGTTATATCTGACATGGGCAAAGTACGGCCCGCGGGCCAAATCCAGCACGTTGGGAATTCAATCTGGCCCGCCTGATGCTGCCACAACCAAACTAAAACCAAATTTTGATGTTTTAGCTAGAACCTAGGTTAAGAAATTTGTTGAGATTGCGATTAATTTTAGTTTCAGCGCAAGGATTATTGTTTTCCACTTTTGCTTTTGTAACACTGTAAATATTGTTCATAAACGTAACTTATTTTTTATGTCACACTTACATGACCCACCAATCTAGGTGGGCAAAATTTTTGGTCTGATCTAAAACCGTGACCACCCCTGGGTTACATCCTAGGTCAAACCATGTTCAGCAAAGAAATTCGAAAGTAATCAGCAGAAATTTTAGAATAGACACAATAAAATTTAAGATTTTATATTATTGAGAAAACAAATCAATGTTACATGATTGACCTCCAACATTTGAAGGTCATATCATCAAGATGAAGGTCAAATTGTTTGTTTTCATTAAAATAAATTTGTTTATGATGTAATAGTGAAGGTTATAGGTCACATGATTACAAAAGAAAAAGGTCATCAGCAGAATTGGTTGATATTTGTAGTTTCTATTTATTCAACAATAATTTATCAAATTAATATATATTTCACTCCACACTGGTATGTCCAAAATGAGAACATTTCAGGGCATTCCTGAAGCATGTGAACCAAGATGGCAGACACTGGAACGTGATTTGTGTATCAGGTTAAAATTAGGCCATAATTTTATTCCAATTAGTTCTATTGCGTATTCAGGGACTAGGCAAGTGACTCCCGTAGTATTTGTACCTGAAATTATGGCCTAAACCTAACCTGCTAAACATAATACGTTCCGTTGTCCGCCATTTTGGTTTACATACTACGAGATTACCCATTACAGTTGATATACAATGAGCCACTGATATCTAATTATAAGAAGAAGCTATCTTTAATTAAAAGAATCTTTCAGGTTCAACATTGCCTACCGATTAATGATTAATGAAAAAAAATTAATGTGAACTTTTAGAACAGTGGTTCCCAATCTGCAGCCCATAACGATTTAATGAGACCCGCTAAACTTTAGTGAAATAGTTACACTTCATGTTTTACCTGTTTTTGTGTTTAGATACCGCCAATTGTTCATTATCCCAGTTCAAGCACATGTATATTCGTAACAATTCCATTATACCGGTATCTTAATTTCGCACCGTTACCAGCCCTATCAGGGCTTCCACCGTTACTATGAATGAATATTCTCCCGCTTCTAATTTTGATTAATGATTTGATTGAACCCTGGATAAGAAAAAATTTCAACCAGAAACCTGTAATCTGTGATGCCAATGCTGTAACTCCAACGCTTCAACCACGAGTCTACCACGTCGCCCGAAAATCAAAATTGAAATTCATTACTTACAGCAAAAAGTCCCATCGTTGTCCCATAGATTGCTCCGAAAACGATGTCCGTTGCATGATGTTTGTTGTCGAGGAATCTTGTACAGCATGTATAAATCGCACCGGCCAAAGCAAAAGCTTGAAGACCAATCTTGAACATTCGTAAGATCTTGTATTTCATCCGTAATTCAAGGTAAAACTGTGAAATAAAATAAGACCTTTAATATATATCTTGAGAACTTCAGTCAAACATTAAAAATTGGGTTCTCCTGAAGTATGCGCACCAAGATGTCGCATAACCTGAACTCTAACCTGGTACACAAACCTGAGTTCAGGTTGTGCGCCATCTTGGTGCGCATACTTCAAGAGGTCCAAAAATTGTTTGTCAAGTAAGGGACTGTTTGTATTTCGTCAAATTCTTGTTAAAACTGGAAGAAAAATATTGGAAATTCACTTTGGGGCTAGAACAGCAGTTCTCAACCAGTGGGCCATGGCCCACTACTGGGCCACAAAGATATTTCCAGGAGGGCCACAAGCCAATAAAAATTGCTATGCTATTCAAAAATTTAGTTTTATTTGTGTCACTATGGTTAATTTTATATTGTAGTATAAATGAATGATGACACTGTTTTTCATTCTAATTATTGAGGTGAAAGTATTTATTTTAAAAATAAGTTTTTTATGTAGTTTTTACCTCGCATGAAAAAGTTAATGGGCCACCAAAATTTTATGCAACGAAAATGGGCCATGAAAGAAAAAGGTTGAAAACCACTGGTCTAGTCCAGCGCTAACTGAATAAATTACCTTTCCTAATACTGAAACGAGAATATCGGTCAGAGACCGAAGACTTATAGATCAAAAGTTAGGGGATCCACCAAAACAGCGCTCTTACTCCATAGTGACACCTTGTGTCCCATCACTAATTAATTAATAACTCGCTAATTATACGACATAATTCGCCCAAAATCAATAGGCTTCTGGTACGAGATATGATAAGGCACATGCAAAATCTGCAGCAGATCCAATCTCGCTTTCGTGAGATATCGTGTGCATCTAACAGACAGACAAACAGACAGACAAATACCTATCAACATACTTACCGATTAAAATCGATAAGTAATAAACTTAACTTAGTTTCTTGAAATTGTAAAGATTATGAAACTAATTAAAACTGTTCATATTAATATCCAAACACTGATTGAATATATATTGAATGCTTTGTATTCTCTGTCAAGCATAACCCAATATATATTTCAAATTCAGAAACATTGATTTAGAATACATTCTGAATAGTGAACTCAGTTTTAAACATTCCCACTAGCAAGAAAGAATTAAGATTTTATGGTTTCATTATTCAAAATTCTTTATTTTAGAAATAATTTGCAAGTTTTATGACTCTTTGACTTAAGTTTTGAAGCTTGTCGAATAAAGACTCATTAATATGTAAGAAAAAGAACAGAATGTATATAAGATCATGCTCACCACTGCAAAAACAGCACAATACATGGCGAATGATGCGTGACCAGATGGGAAGGATTTTCTGAAAAAATACAGAGTTATGTCTCAACAAGAATTTAATAACAATCTCTCCAACATTGCTAACTCAGGATCATGCTTTGAGCATACTACCTACCGATAACTAACAAATATAATCAGTTTTATTCTAAATTATCGGTACTCCTGAAGTATGCACACCAAGATAACCTGAACCCTAACCTGGTACACAACCTGAGTTCAGGTTGTGCGCCATCTTGGTGCGCATACTTCAGGAGGTCCAAATTATCTTTATGATAATATCTCTTCCAAGCATAATTGTGTCAAGGGCATTGATCCAAAGTAGGAAGAAAACAAGGTAAAGGGCTTGCAGTTCATTCAGTACAAAATATCTTAGCTCAAAGATAGCCAAGCTATGTCCCGTCAAAGTATATTTGTGCTCAGCTTTTGAAAATAGTCATGAAAATTTTTTGTAACTGCATGAAAAATTTGGATTTATCTTACACTCTTATGAATTGTTAAAATAATTTTAATATTTATATTTTCATTTCTGTTTTTACGATATCGGCCACCATTAAATTTGACACTATTATAACAAATTGGAAAGTAACTGTGTCAATGTTGCCCTCGCAAAAATAACTTCTTCGCCTCTCCATCGTACTAAAAAAAACCCGTACCTGATATCAGATTTCATTTCTTCTAATTCTTTCGCGCTGTGCCCCTGGGTACGAAGTCCTCGTGCATTCATAGTCCAAGATATACATGTGTTCTATGGAGGAATTACATGCTACACTGGGCAGACAAACATCAAGAAACATAGGTCGCAATCTCCCGACAGTAATTTTTGTGGTGTCAGTTAGAATCTGGTTGATTGTGGCACCGACGATGAAATAACCTGAATTTAATAAAAAAGATTTTTTCATAGGCTGCTTGCTTTCATGTAGAATTTGTAATTTTGTGTCCAAATTCATTACTTATCGATCTTAAGATCGGTAAGTATATTGATAGGTATTTGTCTGTATGTCTGTCTGTCTGTCTGTGTGTCTGTGTGTGTGTCTGTTAGATGCACGCGATATCTCACGAAAGCGAGATTGAATCTGCTCCAGATTTTGCATGTGCATTCATCTTATCTCGGACCAGAAGCCTATTGATTTTGGGCAAATTATGTCGTATAATTAGCGAGTTATCAATCAATTATTGATATAGTGATCTAGATTTTTGTAAAGCGAGAGAATTTTGAAACCCGCCGAGTGTGTGTGTGCGATGCGTAGTGCACAATGCGCAAGTTACAAGAGCGGATGAATCAAAACTGCAGTTTCTGTTTTGGGGGATCCCCTAACTATCGATCGATAAGTCTTCGGTTTACAACCGATATTCTCGTTTAAAATATTGTTAAAAGTCATGATTTTGTTGCTAAAAAAAATAATAAACTATATTGATATTGGCATTTGCTTTTGAAATTTGATAAGATGTAAACGAGAATATCGGTCGGAGACCGAAGACTCATCGATCGAAACTGCAGTTTCGATTCATGACCGTATAGTGACACCGTGTGTCCCATCACTAATTAATTAATAACTCGCTAATTATACGATATAATTTATCCAAAATCAATAGGCTTCTGGTCCGAGATATGATGAATGCACGTGCGAAATTTGGAGCAGAATCAACCACGCGTTCGTGAGATATTGCGTGCATCTAACAGACAAACAGACAAATACCTATCAACATACTTACCGATCTGAAGAACCCTACATAAGTTATTTACTATTTTATACCAGTAAATGAACAGGGACCTGTAGTTTGCCATGTGATTAGGACACAAATAGGGATAAATATTTAAATCCTAGCAACTTACCGAATACTCTATACAGTGCAATTACCAGAGGATGGAAAAGCCCTCGTTTTGTAATCTGACTTCGCTTGTAATAAATGCATTCTATGAAGCAGGTCTGAGAAGAAAAATAACAAACTAAATTTCTAAAATACAAATATTTTCACCATGGTGTAACAAATTGGGTTTGATACTTTAGCTCTCAAATGGGGGGGGGGGGGGGCAGGCAATAAAAATACTTGTTAGATTTTATTTTATTTCATAATTTACAGTTATATCTATGAGTACAATTCCCAGTTTCATTGAGACCTTACAATTTTGTTTTGAGCAAACTTACATAAAAATAGGAAAAAATGTTGTATAGTATAATGTGTGGTGTTGGGATAATTTTACCTATAAATAGTTTTGCAAATATGGTTGCATTGATGGCAATGAATCAGAATAAACGATTAAAAAAAGCCGATTGTGTCATCATAGAACTTGTGATTATTTAAATCTATTTGTGATATCATGACTCATCATATTTTGCAACACAACGACTCGTGAAGATATGATGCACGTCTTATGATGCAACGAGCGTACATAAAAGTAATTAATCATAGGATGACTGTAAAATAAAATTTAACCACTTTCTAATTCTATAAGATATCAGTAGATCGAGGCATTATTAAAGAGATTCGTTTCTTTCATTTCTGCGTGAGTGCGTGTAACTTTGATCAGAAATCAGTATTTTGTACTTCTGAATGAGTAACCGTAACTTTGCTCAGACAAGTCTCTTTTACTTCTGAGTAAGTGCTCATAACTTTGCTCAAAGATGAGTCTCCTTTACTTATAATTGAGGGCTTTACGTAACAAAGATCTTTTTCTATGATGTCAACTTATTTAATTATCACTCCCACATTTAAATATGCACTCACGCCCACATAGTTCAAGACGGTTTGAGTCAATATGGTCATGGAAATATCACAAGATAAAAAAATTCCCACACAACTAAAATCCAGTTTCCATTATCTATGGCCCAAACTAGAATCAAGTATAACATTGACGCTCAGGAAGTAATTAAAAACCAAGTTTCTTCTAACTGACGTGACAGATGACATTTATAATGATTTGACGTCAAATTGCAAAAAAACAATGACAGGAAAGTGCCACCGGTAGTTCCAAAGAGTTGCGGTAATACCAGTTGCATCCACTGGATATCGATCATGGACATACAAAAGAGAATGTTATTGGAATATATCCAATATTACCGTAATTATATTCAATATACTAAATTGCTCAATATTACTATATATACGCTCAAAAGTCAAGACAAATCAAATTAAATTTTGATCATTTGGCAAAATCATTTTATAAAAGTTGCGAAAAGTTGCGTAAATCTTGAAGTGTAGATAGGCTATCCAACAAGTAGTAAAAAAGAAAAGGTAGCATGAATAAAATGTGATAAGATATTCCGTTAACAACATTATTTCTTGAATTCTGCTACATATCAATAAACTACCAATGCATAACTGAACACACATTTAATTCAAGCACATTGATTGAACGCCATATCAATTTCAACGGTAATTGACTGATAAACCGCCATATTCTAGTCCTGTCCTACAGTGCGAAAAGATGTGGCATTCACAAGTCTCTAGAGACACAATCATTCTTGGATTTCATTCATTCATTTAAAGAATTGCCTTTCACAAAAATATTGCTATCCAAAATATTAACATCTTATGGAGTCAAGTACAGTAAATGAAATTATTTTTTCTGTAAACTTAAAGTACTGTCCCATAAACTCTGCCAAAATAGAAATAGTATGTGTTGAGGAGTTGAAGGGAAAATGATGATTCTGACACAATCATCATTAATTGTTTTATGAGATCAAACACTGTATACTCGTTCTGTCTCACAGTGCGAAAAGATGTGGCATTCACAAGTATCTCTAGAGACCCAATCATCATTGAAATTTATTGAAAAACTCACTTTTCGATATCAGTGCTATTTAAAAGTGGATACTTTGATAAAGTTAATAATTTGAATATATTCCAACTTCAAACCATTCAAAAACTGATGGTCAGACATAAAACACTTGTATTTATATTTTAAACTATAGAAAACAGACTATTAATCAAAATGGGGTGTAGCATACTAGGGTATTGTGTAGTGAACTGCAAGTCATTTCACCTTGTTTTGTTTTTATTGCGGATCAGTATGTGTCAGTTGCCACAAGGATGCTTGAACAAGATGGTATTAAAAAGATAAATAAGAACATTATGTTATTCATATTAATCAAAACATCGTTTATTTCAAACAATATGTATCACTAAATTGAGTTTTTGTGTTATGTGTTGAATTACGAAAATATCAGATATTGTTTATCAAAAAAACTATTCAAAAAGATATTCGGAAATAGTAGCAAACTCGGTTTGGAATGTTTAAAAAGAATCAATCAATTATTGTAAATATTTAAGATATATAAAAGTAAAACCAGGCGGTACTGAGCACCAGACACTCAATCCATTTCTGAGTTAATTGACGGATCAAAAGCCACATTCCTTCCTGTCCAAAAAGTGCGGAAAGACGTCTCACATGTTCAACCCCCAGGGACCCATCATATTTGGACTTCATTTATTTGTGCCAACAACCACATTGTGACTAAGAACACCTCCCATGGGAATTAACTATCAACTGACTGATCATTATATTCAGTAAAAAATCAACTTTTAAATTTTGAGCCGGCGTGCCGGCATGTATACCATAGAAATGCCGATGTATGGGTACACAACATATATCCTCTTTTTAAAAATTCACCACTTTGGGGCTGTTTTTTGGGGTGGCATATATGTGAATCCCAGCGGTTCCCAAACTGTGGGTCACAACCCAATGGTGGGTCGCAAAAGAAATCTCAGTGGGTTGTGGAAAGATGTAGAAAGCTTTGACTAATTATACTCGTTATTAGGATCGGTGGCAAAGCAAATTTAAAAGCAATTTTCAAAATAAACTGCAACTTTCCAATTCTTAAACTATCTGGAATTGAAAGAAATGTCAAGTCTATTATGGAAAGTAGCAAGAAACAAGCTCATCCTTCTTACTAGCTTCACTGAAAATTTAATTTGAGAAAATAAATTTGTTTCCTCCATCAATGTTTTAATTTATTAAAGTTAAATGGGTCGCCATTGGCTGGGGTAAAAAATAGTGGGTCCCAACTCTAAAAAGTTTGGGAACCACTGTGGTAGACTATGTAAGAGAGAATTTTGAAATAAGCGTGTATATGAACATGTCAATTGTGACACTGTAGTGCGCAATGAAAATCAATTATTCAAATGCAATATACTGTATACATACAAAAAGCACAACACAGTGCACAAATTTTATTTAGATATTTCAGGTATATAATTTTGTGAAGAATTTAGGATAATATTCATTTGAAACGCGAAATTATGAGCATTTTATATCAGGTGGCGCGAAAATACATTATTTCATTTATCCGTGGAATCAAAAATATGGAAAACCACTCAGAGCAGCGGTTCTCAAAATACAGCCCACAGACTACCGGTAATTGCGACCGCAATCAATATGGTCCGCCGAACTTAGTGAAATAGTTTATCAATTTTTTGTTTTTTTGTTTTGTGTTCTACATACCGCCAATTGTTACGTTGATATAACAGACAAGCACATTTATTTTTATCTGAACAAAAAAGAATTCCCCACTGTTCATCTTAATGTGAACCCTTTTTAAATTTAAAGTTATTAAAGTCCTTCATTTATTTTGACATTTAATGTTTCTTACCAACTTTAATTATGGGACGTACAGGAAACGTACAGTGAATGCCAAACAGACACGCTAATCACCCAATTGTTATTTTATAATTATCAACGTCGCCTAATTGTTTTCAAGTCTGGAGGTGTGCATCACGTTTATAACATTCCAAGAATTCTTTTACCAGATATTTTTGCAAAGTAAAAATGGGTACTTTTCATGTAAAATTGATTAAATTTGATATTTGTCATTTAGAAAATTTAGGAAAAATGACGCAGTACGGTTTTGCAATCTGTCACAGTAGACTGACAGTACCAGTCGTCACGATGTCATAGAAAACATGGAAGACAGCCATCACAATTCACAATATCATATAAACGTGTTCCCATAATTAAAAGTTAAACAGCACAATTTAAACGGAATATTCGATTTCACAGAAAATAAGAAACGCCTTCTAGCGAAAATTTCAAAGCAATTGGTTCACTAGTGAATAACAAAAACGATTTTTTCACAAGGTAATAAGAAAAAGAATAATAACAACAACATACCGGTAATGACATAACAATGAATATTTCCACTTTGTGTTCAATAGGTCAATAAACTCAAGCTTGTTAATATCAATATGATAATAATATAATGGGTAATGGAAAGTTGCCAAAATGAGGTTTATAAAACATGAAACATAGGCGTTGGGAAGTACGCCAAGAAAGATTACGGCACTTTCCGGAAACAGCCATTATTGTAATGTTTTAATTACATTACCGTGGGGGTGATGACCTCCAATTACCTGTTCCAAAGTTTTCAAACTAATTGCTTAAAACACCTTACCTAGAACAATATATTGCAATTTTTTGCAAATGAGGTCCATTTAAAATTTGAGGTATAACATAACTTTATTCGGTTTACCCAAAATCACAAATAATTTATAACAATTTATAATTTATAGCAGAAAACTTTGTGATACTAATAATTCACAATGGCCACTACTATGTTAACTTTAATAAAAAAAAAATTGAGAAGTAGGCTACTAGAACTGATTTGGTATTGTCATTTTAATTTATTACATCTTATTTGCAACTTGTTAAATTTTGTGACAATGACACGGCCACTCCCTATTTATAACTTGAATTTACAGAAGATAAATTGATCATTAACTGGAAAGAAACACAGGACTACTTCCTAATGTACTTAATAAATTATCACGGCCATTGTTGCCAACAAGCGACCGGACGTAAAACATCGCATTTACACGTAAAAATATGCTATATATAGATGAACCTTAGACAGTATTTGCAGACGCAGACGGAAATGACAAAAGCAGAATAATCCAATATTGAAAAAATGAATACTATGGCCATGTATATTTTTTGGTGGAGAAGAAAAGGTGATAAGACGGCCTAATCATATAGTGAACTACGGCCTCTCGTCCGGTTACAAGTCCATGTTGGGTATGAGATTAGTTAATTATATGTTTACAGATGCACGAACTTAATGGTGGAGTAAGCTATTACTGATGAGCAATAACTTGAACTACTCTTAAGACGGCAAAGAATTCAATCCAGGATTTATTGTATCTAATATACCGGTAATAACCGTAATCTAAATATCCGTTCTTAATTTTAATTATTCCTAAATCGAGAATCTACCATGTCAAATACATTTTGAAGCAATAATTTGAATTTTAATTCATCTACATATCATCGTAATTAATGAAATATAACGTCAATTGTTGGCAATGAGCCGAACACGATACATATCTTTCACACGCAGTTACACTATATATAGATGACCCTTGGACATTATTCAGGAGGCGATTAAGTGAAACATACAAGGATGACCTGAAATGAATTACGCATTTCTTTGCATAAAATTTACTAAATACAGGGTGTTGAAAAAGTAACGTAAAATTAACAGAAGTTAAGATGGAATGATACTTAAAACATCCAACAACTGACACCTTTTAACAGTATTGAATTACGATGAAATGTCATTTAAACATTGCACGACTGACGCCATGGTTGCCATAACGAAAAAGTTTGCGTAACTTAACATCCTGTATACCGCAAACTGCTTCACCGAATTAGCAAAATATTTTTTAATTCTAAATTATTCAATAATTTGGATACAACTATATCTTGAAACGTTATTCCTTAATTTGAAAACTCAAATATATTTTATTATCGAGGCATATTCAACAGGTAAACATAACTTTCCATTGCTTTTTAGAAGAATAGCCTTGTGTGCTACCAAAGGAGTGCAATATACCAGTAGATTCGTGATTGTGTAGTGTACGCCACTATAGATTACGGTTACATTCTGCATGATAATCAGCTTTAAATTTAGTATTAAAACACTGTTATACACGAAAATAACCTAAATCTACATTACATACGGAAATACCCCAATAAGTCTTAAAGAACTTATTAATAATTAACCAAAGACTTAGAAACGCTTAACAAGTGCCACGACACAAGTGAAAACAAAACTTTGTCCCTGAAAGAAGTAATTTCTCAATACTGGTTATTCACTACTGACAATGTGAATATTAGTACCTGACTATGACGGTGTCACAGTTTAAATATCACGAGCTTCTGACTCTGGAAAAGCCACTGGTACACAAGCTTCTATTTTTTAAAAACCAGAATCGCTTAGGCCGGTCTGCATTGCCTAGCCCAGAGCTACTAACCTATAACAAGTTCAAATATGAGCAAATTAAAAAATCCTCCAAAACTATAATAAAATTGTTTTAATAAAAACTATCTCAAATCCAAATTTGGACCAATGCTCCAAAATAAAATGCGGTCCTAATCGGATACTCGAGAAGTCCAGGTTCGGACCACAGTCGGCCAGTTGAGTAGCCCTGACCTATCCTATCCACTACATCATGGACCAGAGTTTTAGAATATAAATCTAACTTTTGATATCAACATAGTGAGGTCAAACATTATCCCAGAAGGCCTTCAAATTTACTAACTAATTACCAATTTCTACCTGTTCATAATGACATGTATTTTAGGCTGACATGGTCTTAGCATCCGATCTCCAAACTATAGCCATTTGATGCTTATATATTTGTTTACTAGACAAATATACATTCATACTACTTCGAGGACTTCACCAAAAGGACAAAAACTTGAAAAAATACTGTTTTGAGAAAATGAAGAAAACATATATTTTTGACTTATGCACTTCTCCAACTCTATATTAAAATACTTTCATGAATATGGATTCAAACATTTGATCAGAAAAATAGCGGAAAGAGCACTCCATTTCCTTGTAATTTATTCAAATAATTTTTTTTTTAATTTCAACATTAATCTTTTTATGCAATTCAAGAGTCTTGCTGCACACTAACCCAAATGCATTTCTGTAACGTTTCATCTGACCAAAATCCGACTTCCTCAGACAAGCAGTTTACAACAATGACAAGAAAAGAACAATCAAGCGGTTTGATTCATCCTTTTGTTTGAAATTTATTTTATAAATTCTTGACAAACACGAACATGCAGACTTACCACGGCAATTACAACTGGAATTCCAATTAAAAATAGAGTTAATGAGGGCACGGTGCTCTTTCTAAACGGATACCGGATGCTGTTGTCGGAACAGAAAAAGCCTCGAACATTCGGCGGCGTTAGATCGGTCAAGTTGAAAATGGAAATCGGGATGACCACTGGAAAAAAATAAAAATATACAAAGGATTGGTGTTTTATATTTATGCAGATGAACATAATGAAAAGCAAACCAGACTGAAGCCTTTTCTGGCTGAGTGAATATCAGGCGCTTCAGAAGTGTGTGTACCGATATGGAGGTAACTAATTTTGTTCGCCTATTTTACATCAAGTTGTGTAAAGGGACTGAAACCTATGGGCAGGGGGTATATTTACTTGGCTAACACAGACAGTCCCTGAACTCAAATCAGAATAGAACTATGGCCTAACCCTAACCTGGTACCGATTCAATACCCCATCATCCCATTTTTCAGTAACTTTCAACTTCAACAAATAAAAACTTTCAAAGTAGAAGTCACAAAAGAATAAAAATTATATCTAGAATAAAGAAGTATGCTGATACAAAAGAAAATTGAGAATCGAAATTCTTACATGCAATAAAGAACAGAATGTCAAATCCCAGCTTCATAATAGGTTTCTTCAAATCTTCATGTTGGCGACTTACTAACGTCCCCATCTCTGCAGTCTCCGATGATTATACACTTCTCTAGTTTTTGTTGTATTGTATGATGATAAATGTCGTCAGAATATCGTATTTCTATGTCTATGTTAAAACTTTAATAAATATAAAGCAATGCTCTATAAGAAAATCGTGAATGTAAGTCAAAATGCTTATTTGATTTACAGATTTATAGCAAAGATGTGCATGCCTTTGCAACACAAAGAGATTGGAATTAATCACAAGTACGAAAACTAGTTTTGGGAGTCGTACACCATCCAAAATTGGTACGTCTCCGCGGGCCGCACAATTTCTTTGTGGGCCGTATTTGGCCCGTGAGCTGCAGGTTGCACACTCCTGATTTAGAGGGAACTTGAAAAGGCTAAATCAGGTTTAGAATACAAATATCCCAGCTAGTGAAAACCTTTAACATTACAAGCATTTTTGAAGCACTGTAACACATTAAACATGTAGGATATTGAAACAATATCACAATTGTTCCAGTAGTTGAAGTTAGGCCTATTTAAAATAGAAAATTTCGAATATACTATTTTAAATTCTGTGTTACTAATTTAGGACTTGAAAATAATAAAAAAAATTATTTTGCCCAAATTCTTGATAACTTGCTCTCGTATAATAATAATTTTTGTCACTAGTTGTGCTTAATTCGAACAACAGCCAGACAGCCTTGTACCATTCAAAATATAAAGACAATGACCCACTTTAAACAATTGAATAACGTCTGAATGCAATTTTGTATTGTTCTTATTGTTTATTGTTATCTTTTAATAGCAGAAATAAGTCATTGGATGTCACAGCTAGATAACCTCTCGCTTCTGTTTGTATAGGCCTATGTGTTTTTGGACACGTTAGTGGACATAACGATCGTTTTGGTATTTTTGTTGTTCTTGTTCTTATTTGTCTTCTTCTTGGTATCGTTATGAAAAAATCGCTTTTCTCGTTGATTACTGGACCAATTGCTTTGAAATTTTCAGTGAGTAAAGATTATATTTTTCCCCAGAAGGCTATTACTTTTATTTATTCTTAAATTTTATATGAATCCTATGAGATATGATATTTCATACAAAATTTCGCGGTATTTATTTTTACTCATGGGAACACTGTTTTACACTTATTTCAAGCGGTTTCGCGATCGATTGTCTTGCTCAGTACTACAGCTACTGTAGGTCGGTACTGGTAAGTTGCCATACCGGTACCGTAACGCAGTGAAATTGACTTATTCCTTCCGCGGTATTACTAATGCTGCAATGCAAGTTTTATAGCCTATCGTATGCGGAACGGAATATCAGACCTACAGGTTCGGTACCGGTACTGGTAGCTCAGTACGTAAGTACGATACTGGTGCCGGTACCGGTGTCTTACCACAATGAAATTACCGTAACTTATTCTTTCACGGTCCTACCAGTGCAGTAATGCAAGCGTTGTAGCACTTGTAGCCTACTATATTTGTTTATTTTGATGAGAGTCTACTGGAAACAACATAAAATTTGAAAGGGAAGAATTGTTCTGGGATCAATTATCTGTCCTAAAGTGTAAACAACATAAAATTTGCAAGGGAACAACTGTTCTGTGATCAATTACCGTATATGGCCTACAGTGTACAGGTAAGATGCTCGCCGACTGCTAACTCAGTAGCGTGCCTACATTAGGTACCGCAGTGAATTTCGCTCTCATCTTTTTGTTTTTTATTACAGTTCTACTGAAAACAACATAAAATTTGCAAGGGAAGAACTGTTCTGCGATAAATTATTGTTATTTGTCTCCATCATTTTTAAAAAAATCGCTTTTCTCTTCGAATACTGGACCAATTGCTTTGAAATTTTCAGTGGTTGAAGATAAAATTTTTCCCCAGAAGGCTATTACTTTTATTCATTTTAAATATTTCTGATAGCTCTATGAGATTTGTTTTTGTTCGCTATGACGTCATTAAACGTTCAGCGGACATCGAACGCCATTTTGTGTCCTACTGTGCTGCTTTGCTTGGTGTGAATATATTTGTAGACTGTGATCTGACGGTACGGTAAACCGTACTGTACTGCGATAGACGTGTCCATATATTTGGGCGTAGCTCTCTTGTTTATTATCACATGGTGATGAATAAATGTATGTATGTATGTTAATTTGCCTCAGAAATGTAACAGTATCTGCATAATAATTGAACAGTAAAACAGAGATGGGAATACATGTTCAAGACCTTACTTGCCTAAGACACACATGTGCGACATGCACCCCTACTAACAATTATAACAGCAGTTTAGGACTGTTGTAGGACAACAGATATGAAATAGGCTATACAAATAAAACTCCAGTAAAATACACAAGACAAGGAGATACGACACAATGACGATATGTACAATACAAATATTACTTATATTACAAATTATACAAATATTACTTATTAAGCCCATTATACTGTAATAACAGTATCCAGTCAATGCATTGAAATGAATCCAACTTGATAATTAATACCATATCATAACTGATATCAACTTTCCCTTACCCAATCTAAATATAAAAATCAGTCTGTGAAGTTGTTACACACCCGTTGTCAGCAGTAACAATTAACAACTTTCGTCGTCGCCGTTTTGTTCGCGTTACCGGTACCGCAATAACAAGGTCATGGCATCTCCAGCCACGAATTCAACAATTTAAACAAATATCTATTCAAATATTCTCAAACCATGTTAACATTATTGCCGTTATAGACAATACTCCAATAGTTTATTTGCCTTATGGGCTTACTTTCACACAGGATAAGTATAACCATACAACAAGATCTGCTCTAAAGCGGACGAAAATGCGAGACCAGTCTGGCGAAAACCTACGACACTGATATATTTCGTTGAAGAAAACTAGCTTTATATATGAACATCAATTTCTAGTTAGTTTGTTGTTATTTTTTCTTCGAAAGTACTTTGTTCGTTTGTTTATTATATTTTGTGGCAGCTCCGCAGCGATACTAGCGGTTTTCTTCAACAACTCATTAAACACCACAGAGAGAAAAAAATAATTTATTTTTTCGCAAACAAGAAAACATAATGATACAACAACAAATAATAATGTAACAACAAATAATGCAGTTTTTGATATATGACTGGGTGATTACGATACGACCATATACGGTCATCCGAAACAGTTACAACGCAAATACTTGAATAAATAATTTTTTCATATCTATAAGGAGCATGATCCCACTTGCATAGCACTCTTATTGAAATTTGCTGTGTTCAATATTTGTTAGCAAAATAAAAAGAAATAATCTATGGAATCAATTTGGAATTTTTTTAATGATTTTGCAAATTTACACTTTATTTCCAATGTTCAAAACTTCATGCTGCCTTTAATGCATGCATTTTTTTTATCTGGTTTGTACATTTGATAAATTATTGGTGAATTTTTTATGTATTTGAAAGCAAGATGTTTCTCACAGCTATTTACTTATTTAGCAATACAACATCTAGAACTCCAGACCCAGAGTTTGCTGCATTCAAATATTTGAAATCAACTTCATTTATATATAATATATATGATATGTGGGGTAAATTCTGGTGATTACCATAATTGGACGGGAGAAGTCGTCAGAAGTCTATTACATTTAATTTATCTACATAAATTTTGTTATATTTTGTGTAAGTTGTCCACAGATCCCTTAAAAAGCATTGCCCGATTCTGAATCGTGTTTTTTGTATTCTTGTATTAATATTTTTTTCGGTGGGCGGGCGCGTACTTTTACGTTTTTTAACTTTATTTTAAGTTATGCTCGCCTTCCAGGTATATCTGCATTTTGTTTGTTTGTCCAGATTTTGTGTTGTTTCTGTTTTTATGTCAGAGTACCGAAATAAATGATTGATTGATTGATTGAAATAAATTGAGACGGGTTCTGTTACAATATAATAGGGTGACCATATTTCCAGACCCTAAAAGGAGGACACATTGTTTGGTAGAACCACATTTCATCTGTGAATAAGATATACATTACAATATATCTACTAAATTTTTTTGGTATTGAATACAGAAGTGACAATAGACAAAGTGACGATAATGAAATGATGCATTTTCGTCTTTATTAAAAAACAAGAGAGCTATGCTCAAATATATGGACACGTAGCGCCACCCAGTGACAATAATTTTGATGACGTCATAGCGCAAAAAAAAGTAATAGCCTTCTGGAGAAAAATTTTATCTTTAACCACTGAAAATATCAAAGCAATTGGTCTAGTATTCGAAGAGAAAAGCGATTTTTTAAAAATGGAGACGGAGACAAATAACAATAACAACAAAATTTTGAAACGATCGTTATGGCCACTAAACGTGTCCAATAACAACTACAATTTGTCTGTCCTTAGACCACGAGTAGTTGGCAGTTCCTTTGATCATTGTCAATTTTACTACGTTATTTTTTTATTATCGTAAAACTGGGTCTACTGGCTTAATTTTCTGCCAAAAACATACTTTTCTGAGATTGCGAAATACGAGGTGAAATGACCTAAAACCTATTGCAGAACAAAACGATTTTAATTCATGAACGAGGAAACATAAGAAGTGGGAATTAATTAAAGTAAACCCGTGTACATGCTATCACATCTCAATGCATTGCTTGTTATATGTATAATGATACTTGCTAAGTCTCTACTAACTTTGAAATTTTCTTAACAAAGCAACTGTAACCAATATAAAAGAATTTTTAATATTTAATCCGGTGAAAAAGGAGGACATTTTGACAATTTAGAGCGTCCTCGGAAAACGCAAACTTTTTTGACGCAAAAGGAGGACAAATCCTCCAAAACGAGAACGTATGGACACCCTACTGCCTACAATATAAACTCTCAGTATATATATATATATTTATATAAAACTATATACATTACATACAGAAATAATTCGATCAGAAACAGGAATTAACCAAATAAAGAAAGTAAATTTTTTTTTTCGCCAACCCAAAAAACACATAATATATATACATATATAGGCTTACCATACGTCCCGATTTAGCCGGGACAGACCCGGTTTTGACAAGTTGTCCTAGCGTCCCGCCCGGTAGACATAAATGTCCCGGTTATGTAGCGTGGCAGTCAAAAACAATTTTTTCATATAATATTACCACAAATTTATTTT